TACATGCAATTGTTTTATTTTAAAACTCTAATTTAAAAAAATGTAGACTAACATTATAAGTAGTTTCATAACCTAAAATTACGAATCCAAATATGTTGTCATTTAAAATAAAAAGGTCAAGGAAGACAAAACAAACAGGTCAAGATTGTCATCTCAAGAAATGAGACAACTGTAAACTCTCTCAAGAGGTGATGAACAAAGACCAGCAGGTGCACCATCCACAAGACCCAGACTGAAGCTGCAATTCTTCTCAAAGTGGGTCAGGACAACTGATGGATTCGGCATGGTTCAATGGTTCCTTCTGCAGTCTATCTACCTGAAGTTTCTGGTTCCTGAACAAGCCAGGTCTTCTATGTCACCTTTTGGTCCATATTTAGTAACAGATTGTTAAAAAGATGAATCAGTGGTTGATCCTTGATGTAACTCATATAATTAGAATTAATTTTAAAATATCCTCAAAAGTTCACCATATAAATGTGCCAGAGCATAAAGGGTACAGTTTTATAGCAGAGATGACTCTAGTTTATAGTTGGATTCCAAAGGCCCAAATGCTTCCCCTAATAGTAATTGCCCATAGGGAAAACAACATCCAGAGGCCTTCTGCAAACCTCCCAGGTCTTTCCTCCTTTAGGGTCCCTGGGGAAGCTGAAGGTAGTGCATCCTTGTGCTCAGGTGTGCTGGGAAGAAAAGCAACAAAGCACTGAGCCAAAGGAGAATCGTATGTATCTTCCTGGATGTTCTTGGACTATAGGATGTTTTTTCCAGCTTATACCAGGAGTTATCATGTCCAAAGGGGTAAAGCTTTAACTGAATTTAAAAAATGGAATTACTGCTAATTTGAGCCAAACATTGGAGTGATCAGAGAGCGAGTGAGCAGGGTTTAAAAGCCCAATCTTAGCTGTATTGTAAAGTCTTCACTTATTTTGTAACATATTAAAAATATTTGTGTTTCCAGGAAAAGTTCTATAAATCTTTCACATTTTAGAGTCTTTATTGTAACACTACCATCAGTATGTCAATGGCATTTGGTGTCGCCAGGTCCAGTGTGCTCAGACACAGCTAGTACATGAGCACAATGATGCTCTGATCTTTTGAGAAGCACATTTTACAAAAAGTTCACACATAGATGTGGTAATATACAGCTTCCAGTCTGTGCTTGGTGGAGCCGTGAAGAGCCCCTCACAGACCACCATGAGGGCAAAGTGGGGGCCAAGAGAGAGCCAGTTAGGGGCTCCTGTCTGCACCAGCACTGTAACCAGGGCAGTTTTGCTTCTACGTTATGTATATCATGAGTCAAGCAATGTTTTGTTTGAAAAATCAGCTTTGTCTGCTTTAAAAAGAAAAGATTTGAAAACCACACTCCATTGAAAAAATTCACTGTCATGTTCTAAGTCCAGTATTATGGCCTACATAAAAATAGACTTCAATCACATAAAAAAACAGGCTCAGTGACAGTAGTGGAGAAAGAAGCCAAAACAGATGAACCCTACGACCGTGGCAATGAAATTTAAAGTCAGGGCAGCACACAGCAGCTTCTGCGGTCCGATCAGTTGAAATCTGCCTCACTGGGGTAGCCGTAAAGCAGTCAACCGCAGCTTCTGCTGAACACTGACTCCAGCTGATTTTTACCATAGACGCTCAGACAAGGAATTAAGTGCTATCACCCGGGCTTTGGAGATATAAAAACGCCGGCTCCTCGAAGGATCGGACTTGGCAGAAGCACTGGCTGAGCAATCGCTCAGGCACAGAGACTGCTGTGTCAGTCTATTCTGTTTCTCTCAAAACACTTCTGCTATATTCCACCTTGGTGAATTCATCTTTTGAGGCCCATTTCAAAAGTTAGCACCAAGTGTGTGGGTCACTCCCCTGGCTCCACCCGATTTCTTCACCTAACAATCTATTCAGACCCTGCACCCAGAGGGCCGTGGGCTGGTCTTCCTCATCTGCTTGTGCACCCCTGATAGTACTAACCATGTAGAGAAAGTTACTTAAATGAATCATTGAATGAAACTCTGGTTTTGGGAGTAGGGATGAACACAGAAACCCAGTCCTGAGACAGGTGTTTGACAGAGCAGCTAAGACACGGCTCAGGACACCTGCATCCCACATTGGACTGCCTACGGTCAAGTCCTGGTTCTGCACACCCTGGGAGACCGCAGGTGATGGCTCAAGCACTTGGGTTCCTGCCACCCATGCAGGAGACCTGGATTGAGTTCCGGTCTTCCAGCTTCAGCCTGGCCAAGCCCTCACCACCATGAGCATTGCGGCCTGAACCATTGGATGGGAGATTAGTTTCTCTCTGTCACTCTGTCTTTTAAATAAAAAATAAAGTACAAAAAGAAACAAAAGAAAACCAGTGCTTATTAGGAATAGACTGATTGAATAAGGGACCCAACTTTTCCCCCTTTCTGCGTTTAGATTTTTCAACAGAGGTTAGAGAACATGGCTTTCCTTTCTCATGTGTTTAATTCAAGAGGCAGTCATAACAGAGATTTCTGCATTTGTACACTTAAAAAAATACATACATTTTTAATTGATTTCCCTAGGCAACTTAAATTTCAATGTAACTCATGATCGCCATCTGCTGACAAAAGGCTGAACTTGTATTTCAGTTAAAAGCTAGAATTCACAAGGTTTTTTTTAAAGATATCAAAAAACAAAAATATAAAGCTGTTAATTATAGAAAATCTATAAACTCTAGGACACTCAGAGTAACAATGCTATCTATACACACTAAACATCCAGAATTTTCTCTACTTTGTTTCAAGTGGATACAGTATGTTCAGAATCCATTTTCAAAAATGTTTGTCCCTCTATATTAATTCTATCTGATCAGCATCAATATTTTGCTCAAGCTGTATATTAAAGGAGAAAAAGAATCATCTCCACTTGATCTTAGCCAAAAGGCCGAGAAGCGATAAAAAAAATCTCTAAACAAAGAAAGAATATAAAAACTGTTAGAAGAATAATAAAATTAAAAATCAGTATTAATTAAAAATTAGTGCTTTGGTTGGAAATCTTGAAAGACATTATGCTTACAGCTTCAGATTACTTTATTTCACCACATAATACCCCCAAAACATAGTCATTTATAAATGTGTTAGAACACACAAAGTGTGCACGAGCAAGAGAGAGAGAGAGAGAGAGAGAGAGAGAGAGATTCAGTATGTCAGCTGATAACAAGCTCCTTGCTGTGTGCACATCTGTAAACCTGGCAGGTGGGATGTGTCATGTTGGAAGATACCGCACGCACGATTTCATGTATTCTTAGATGTGATAAAAATTAAGTTCAAATATAAGGGGAAATACCTTGATATCCACATATCTACAGTTATCTGATTATATAATCTGTAACCATGTGGCTATCTCCTGCTTATAAAACAATACAAGTGATAGATAATATATAATATGGAAAACAGACCATGTTCCCTAACATGATTAGAATCTATTGAGGAGACACGACAGTAATATCTAGGGTTACAAATGGCAGCTGTATGTGACACAGAAAACCACCTGCAGTGAGAACAGGATATTATCCTGGGTTACACCAGGGAGGGCGCACGTGGAGCAGAGGGAACAGTCTGGGAGGTGTCAGCAGTGCTGCCACCCGTCAAAACAGGAAGAACCATGAAGAACATTGCTTGACAGAGAGGAAGAAGGAAAACCATTGTCAGCCATTACTTAGCTGGAGGCAAGACCAAGTGATCTGCGTCTATAACAAGCTAGTTTGACTCTGTGCTGTGCAAACATGAAGGAGGCAGGTAATGGCAGCATTATTTAATGGAGAATTAAGGGACAGAATGAAGACATTTAGGTGCTTCAGAGCACAAACACTGCATGAGAGTGAGAATTCCAGTCCACTTTTGTAGGAAGTGCATAATCATGGCCAAATTATTAACCATTCTGTTGCCTTGATTTCTTCACCTGTAACACAGGGCTAATAATGTCACAAAGGGCTGGGGCGAGGATTCCACATAAGTTAACAGATGAAAAGGCTGTGTAGGAACAGCACCTGCACACACTAAGGACTACACAAAACCATTTGCCACTCTTAAGGAAGCAAGACTTCTTGCTATGCATACCACATCCATCACATGTACTCATCACTTTCAGGCTGAATAGCCTAGTTCATTTGTAAAATGAAGACATTTTTAGTTGTGAGTGAATGATAGAAGTGTGTGAGGTTAGCACAATGAGTGGCTGGGGGTAAGCACCGGCCTGCTCTTTTTTTTTTTATTTTTTATTTTTTATGTTTTGACAGGCAGAGTGGACAGTGAGAGAGAGAGACAGAGAGAAAGGTCTTCCTTTTGCCATTGGTTCAACCTCCAATGGCCACTGCGGCCGGCGCACTGCGCTGATCCGATGGCAGGAGCCAGGTACTTATCCTGGTCTCCCATGGGGTGCAGGGCCCAAAGACTTGGGCCATCCTCCACTGCACTCCCTGGCCACAGCAGAGAGCTGGCCTGGAAGAGGGGCAACCGGGACAGAATCCGGTGCCCCGGCCGGGACTAGAACCTGGTGTGCCGGCGCCGTAAGGCGGAGGATTAGCCTAGTGAGCCGTGGCGCCGGCCCGGCCTGCTCTCTTACCTGTCATTTATCATGGGCTACTGATTCACACAAGCTGTGTCATTATGATGCTATTTTATATCACACGCTATTCATATTTGTTAGTCTCAGGCACACATGTGCTGCTGTGAGCTCGCTTCACGTCCTTAGTGATACTGAAGCAACACACGGAAGATGCTGGCAAGAACATGGCCAGACTGGCCAGACCTTGCTCCCAAAGTGTGAAAAGAGAGAAGAGCTATGCAAAGCAGTGTCTCATCCCAAAGACTCTGAACCCACATTAAGATCTCTGAACGCTCAGGCAATGAGATGAAATTCAACAGGTAAATACATGTCAAGATATCTTGGTTGTTTTTATTCCATTGGTTCCTTAAGTAAAGACTGACGCTTTCTGGAAATGAAACTGTGTAGGATCGAGAGAGCAGTCCACGCACCTTCTCAATGAGCTCGTAGCTCTCTTCAAGCTTGAGCAGTCTGTTCTGCACAGAGGTAGACGCTCGCTGGTACACGGTGCGCCACTCCTGAAAGTCGCTCTCCGAAATCTCGGCCACAGCGAAACACAGAGTTCTGAGCCCTGAAAAAGAGCACACCCCCCACCCCAACACCCCAGAGAAGATCTGATGCAGAAGACAGCAGTGTCCAGTTTTGGTGAACAAAATATCATCTTGAAAAGACTAACTGTATCCTGACAACATGCTGACACATGCTGGTCACCGTTCCTCCACCCCCCTTCTCTGTCGGCTGGCCTTGCATCTCCTTTAAGACTCGGCTCTCATGATCGCTGCTTTGAAGCTACCTCAACCTCCCCTCCTCCAGGATCCCTTAGGCAGAAACGCTCAAACACTTAAGTGTGGGACAAACAGTGTTTCACACTTTTCATTGTGGGTCTCCTCGATTCCATTAAAGCTCCTGGAGTGCAGGGACCCACGGTTCTTCATGTGCACACCTCCAGTGCCATGCACAGTGGCTGACTCCTAACAGCGGCTGTGTAGATGTTCAGGGAGGAAGGAAGGGAGAGAGTTCAGTGGGGTGTACTGGGGCTGGAGGAACCTTCCTCCTACTGTGACCCCTGATGGTATTTATTGCTGCTCATTACCACTGTAACTTTGTGTAAAAAAAAAAAGTCTTAGTTGAGAGTTAATAGCAAAAAAGGATAGCCATCAGGTGGGCCCTGGGAAAGTGGTCAAGGCTGATGCTGCAGGTGATGCCCAGCGCTCAGAGTTGTAACTCATTTCACCTTTAGAGAAAAGGAGATGGACTGGAAGAAGGATAAGGCAAGAGCATTATTCAGCCATGCAAGGAGGCAGTTAGCTCATATCCTAAGTGTATGGTAGGACCAGGCTCTATTCTTGTGGTTGCAACTCAAATAATAAGTGCTTGCACAAAAACGTCAGGTTTAACAAGCAAACAGCATAGGACATAAAATACCCAGAGGACTCTACTTTCCAAGAAAGCAGGAAGGTTATCTGTTGCCAGATCACTGAGAATGGAACTTGGGTCTTGGGGCTGTAGGAGGGGATGTTTTTCTCTCTTGGCAACTTGGCTGGGCTGCCATAGAGTACAAGAATCATTTAACCCGGAGCCAGAAACAACAGGGTGGAGGCCGGGGCTGCGCCAGTTCAAATCTGTCTGAGGGCTGGAGTGCCTTCACCATCTTATAGAGGAGAAATCTGTCCCCTGACCTCCACAAAGGAACACATAGCCTGTGCTGAATGCTGGGTAGGCTGCCCCACGACTGCCAGTTAAGGCAGGGCCTTCGGGAATGCGAATGCCATGGACATGCGTGTGTGTATGCTCCTGCATCTTGGAGAATTGGGAGAAGTTTCTTAGTATCTTTGCTTTTCAAAGTTTAGCTGTTTGTTTTTGTCTAGAGTTTTTCAAAAACATTCCTATCTTTTCTCAGCCTGGACTAAGAGGAAGAGGAAGGAGTTGGAGGTCTGGACGGGGGCCACTGGTGACATTCCAGCCGAAGGCCACAGGAGTGAAAAGGCAGTTGGGAGAGCAGGCCCCAGCTGTGACCACTGCTGTCAAGTCTGGAGATAAGACCAGACATTCCTGCAGTAACTGCCCCTAATGCTTCACAAGTCCCGCTGCCTTCCATCTTATCTGACCCTCTCTGCAGACCATGTGCTGCCTGGTCTCGGTGTGGTGGGCACTTTGCGAGGACGGGGGGCAGCACTAAGCTTGGTTACCAGGGTTCACAGGCCACACACACAGTGTGTGGAAGGGACTTGTTAAAACGTCTTGAGTTGTAACTAGATGTAGTAACTATTTCCATAAGTTTTCAATACAAAGTCTTGAGTTAAAACTAAATTCAGTAACATTTTTAATAGCTCTATAAGTTTATTTATTTCTTCTCTTACTCAGCCTAGAACATTTCAGCTCTTTGACTCTTGCTTCTTTTGCTAAAGAACTGTTTGAGAGGTAAAGTAGTTATTATTTATTTATTGGACAGAAAGAGAGACATACACATACACAGGGAGAGGGAGATGGAGAAAGGGAGAGAGAGAAGAGTGGCTAGGTCCAGCCAAACTCAGGAGCCTGGAACTCAATCCAGATCTCTCATGTGGCTGGTAGAGTGATCACTGCTGCCTCCCAGGGGCTGCATCAGCAGGAGTCAGGAGTCAGGCGCTGGAGCTGAGAGCTGAACATAGGCACTCTGATATGGGATGTGGGCATCTTAACTGCTAGGCCAAATGCCTGCCCTCTCTTTTTACTTAATCATACTGTATTGCTATTACACTCACCTTCTGTAGCAAACTGTTCCAAATGTTTTAAAGTGATTTCTTTGTACTTTGAAGTCTCTGCCAGTCGCTCATAAATTACAGTGTCCTGGAAAGTAGACAGAAGGTACAATGTACTTAAGCAAGCATTCTGAGTTTAATGCAGTTGATGCTGGCAACATTACTGGCTGCAAGTCAGTATAAAAACAAGCAATCGCTTTTAGCACTGGTTTTGTTTGTCTACTAACACTGCTTCCTCACTGACAGCTCAGACACAGAGAGCCTCCTGTACATGAAGGTTCTTCATCCATGCAGTCAGCCAACCTTGGAGCATAAGAGAAGGGAGGCCTCTGATGGCCGCATCTGTACTGTACACACACAGACTTCGTTTTTGGTCTCTATTCCCTGCGTCATACAGTAGAACAACCATTTACATGGCATTTACAGTGGACTAGGTATTAGAGGTGATCTAGAGAGGAATGAAAGTATACGGGAGGATGTGCCTGCGTTACATGCACTTAGCCCCCATTTTATATAAGGGACCTGAGCATCTGCGGATTCCGGGGTCCTGGCGGCGCCCTGGATCGGTCCCCTGCAGACCTCAAGGGACAATGGTAAAGTTCTAGACCTGCTTCTTTCCAAGCACACCTCTACCACTCCAGTGTTCACAACCTCATTCTAGCAACACCTCGCTCACTTCCCACAGGCAGCAAGATCGCCCCCATCCCTGAAGGGTTTTTTTTTTTTCCTTTTTACACCTTTTTTTTTTTATGTATTTTTAGTTTTTATTATAAAGAAAAAAGATTTCACATTATTTCATAGACACAATTCTCAAAAGCTAAGCATACTTCCCTCCCTGGCTCAGTCTCCATTCCTCCCTTCCTCCCTTCCTCCCTTCCTCCCTTCCTCCCTTCCTCCCTTCCCCTTTTTTGCCAACAACATACTTCCAATTTATAAGCACAGGCTTAATGCACCAGAAACCATAATGTTCAATAAGTAAAAAGTAGAAAGATCACTGTTCCACAGGAAATAGACAAGCTTATAGACAATAACCAAATCATAAAGTATCAGTTTCATACCTGCCTTTTTTTTTTTTTTTTAATTTTGTATTAGGTATCACATACCAGAGTTGCAGGATTCAAGAGTTGCTACAAAGGGGCACAGTCCAGAGACTGTTTCAAGAAACAGGTTGGGGAGCTCGACTGGACAAAGCCCAGGATCTTGTGGCCCTGCTGCAGTACCTGTCAGGACTTTACAATGCCAGCGTGCACAGGGGATCCCTAGGGAGTGTAACAGCATTGGGGCACAGAACCTTCTAGGGCTTAGAGTGTCTTTATGGGATTTCTGCTCAGACTTCAAGAAGTACAGGACTAAATCTGGTATAGTGGGGAGAACCTGGGGCAAACTTCAAAACTGTCCGAAATGGCAGAATATTTCTCTGGGTGTCACTTCAGCTTTAAGACTCAGTTTACTTTATCTGTAAAATTCGACTACTGGATTATTTTTAAAGTCCCTTTAACTTTGGCTTTACGAGCCACTTATGTTTCTCTAGTTTTTGCACCTCTGTCATTTGCTTGCTGCTTCTTTAGTTGCTCTCCAGCTTTGGTTTAATGTTTTTACGAGTTTTACTATTTAGTTCTTGATGGTTTTATTAGACCAGGAAACAATAAATCATTTACCTGCAATTTCTTTCTCAGTGGTATAACCCATTTTGGGAACCCTAGTCTCAGGGCTGAGATCTGGAAGGAGACTAATGGTGTATGATTTAGAACCCTTGAGAGAAACAGAACTTAGTGACCTCAAACCAGATGGAATATTCCAGGCCTCAACTACGAATTTCTTTTCATTTTTTCAGTGGCAGAATCAGAAGGGGGCAAAGCAGAAGGAAATGATCATTTCCCCTCATGGCACCTTCCTGAGATTGAAATGTGTAACTTATGAATTCTAGTGTTTTTCCAGAAGCTCATGAGATTGTCAGTGAAATTCAAATAGGTCACTTTACCATCAAGAAAACTCTTCCTTAAATTTAAAATCAGGAAAACAAAAGTGATAAGTAACATGGTTAGGAAGAATAAATCCTGCAGTGTATCCAAACCTTGGTGGAAGATACTGATACTTGGAACCCAGGAAACTAATTCCCCACCTTTCCCCTCAGCACGGAGAAAGGCAGGAGCAGAATGTGGCCTCCGCATTACGCAGTGCTTCCAGATGAGGATCTCAGTGGGCCATGTTACAAGTGAAAAACAAATACACACCTATCCTTTTACACCCATCCTGCCACTGCTTTATTCGGAGGGTTAAAGCAGGAATTCGGCACACTGCCAGGTACCGAGAGAGGTATCTTCCCAGGACCTGAAGCACAAGCATGCCCTAGGAGAGCACCTGCAGCCTCTGGGGTCACACGCAGGGAAAATCCTTGCCAGAGCTACTTATCTGGTGTCCAGGTCCTGTGTAAGGGAAACCAGACAGCCAGGACTGCTGCTGTGGGAGCTGCATGGCAGAGTAGACTCACAAGTAAAGAGCCTTGGGTTTCAAAGAAGCTTAGCCTCATGATTAATCATCCTCTTTGGGGAGTTTTCATTCAAAAAGCTAAATTTTCCTATTCCTCTTTTAGACTGAGGTTCTCTATGCCTTGGTAGGTGTTAGAAATTTTGTTAATAAGAAGATAGCAGTGGAGAAAAAAGAACAGCAATCAATATTGGAATTATCTGGGAAATCTTGATATAAATTAGTCTATTTCCATCAAGGAATTTGCTCTTGCTGTCAAGTGAAACAGCAAGGCAGGGCTGACCTGCTATAGGAAGCCTGGGCCCCTTTGCACAGGGACACCTGCCAAAGACATGAGGCACACCCAGATTTACACCCAAGTACCACAAGGATTTTCTGTGTGTGTGTGTGCAGTTCAGAATGATCTGCACTCTGCCTCTGAGGTGGTACTGAGCTGCTAAAAATAGCTACCTTCAGATGTGGTTGGTTTGTCATGGTATAGAATTTAAGAGATACCCAGTTTGAACTTTTCATCAATCTAGGGTTCTGACAGTATTACCCTTATTAACCAAGTTTCTAATTCTTCCTCTGGTATGTAAGTTTTTTAGCAGGAGTCTTACTTTCTTGAATAAATTTTTACTCACATAAATGTAACTTCCTGGGGCCAGCGCTGTGGCTCGGCGGGTTGAAGCCCTGGCCTGAAGCGCTGGCATCCCATATGGGCGCTGGTTCTAGTCCTGGCTGCTCCTCTTCCCATCCAGCTCTCTGCTATGGCCTGGGAAAGCAGTGGAAGAGGGCCCAAGTCCTTGGGACCCTGCACCCACATGGGAGACCTGGAGGAAGCTCCTGGCTTCAGATCGGCGCAGCTCTGGCCGTTGCGGCCATCTGGGGAGTGAACCAGTGGATGGAAGACCTTTCTCTCTGTCTCTACCTCTCTCTGTACCTCTGTCTTTCAAATAAATAAAATCTTAAAAAAAATGTAACTTCCTAAGTTGCTTATTTTCATGGATATAAAGGGAATATTGAGTACTTCTTTTTTTTTTTAAATTTAAAAATTGGGGCTGGTGCTGTGGCATGGCGGGTGGGGCTACTACCTGCAGTGCCGGCATCCCATATGGGCTCTGATTCGAGTCCTGGTTGCTCCTGTCTGTCTCTCTGCTGTGGCCTGGGAAAGTGGTGGAGGATGGCCCAAGCCCTTGGGCCCTAGTACCCATGTTGGAGACCTGGAGGAAGGTCCTGGCTCCTGGCTTCGGCTTGCCACAACTCCGGCCATTGTGGCCGATTGGGGAGTGGGCCAGCGGATGGAGGACCTCTCTCTCTCTGCCTCTCCTTCTCTCTCTGTGTAGCTCTTTCAAGTAAAATAATAAATCTTTAAAAAAAATTAAAAATTAATAAAGCAATTCAACTTTATCGTAGAAAATTCGGAAAGATCAGAAAAAAATAAGTCGTCCATACACACATACCTACAGACATATGCACACACACAGGGTCATTATATTGTGATGTGGTCAAGTCAGCACTGTATTCCAGATCACTAACTCTGTCTCTACCCCTTCAATTGTGTATAATATAAAATTTATCCCATTTCTTGATCTAAAAAATTTATATTTAATTTATAAGTTAAATTATATAATTATGTAATTTATCTTACATGTATCTTTATATTCCCTCCTAATTTCTTTTTGATTAAAAATAGTTGGAATTTATATATTTGTCTTTTTTTTTTCCACCTCTAAACATCCTCTGTGAGACTGGTCTATACAGCCGAAATAATCTTGAGTCAATCCATTTCCATTTGTTGACGTTGCTCATTACCACCCTTGGTATGAAATTTTCTTGTGTGCCTCCAAGCTTTGCTCCTTCTGAGCCCCTCTTTGCACGCATGCCAATCTCGTGGCTTTGCACGTGTACAACCCCTGCAGCGGTTGGCATGAGCTTTCCTCAGCCTCTTTCCATAACTGGGGAAGCTCGCCACTGTCAGGCATCGGAGCAGGGAGGCTGGCTCCCATAAGCATTTTACAAGCAGAACTGTTTGCTCACATACTCCCACAGAAGCCAAATTCCAGCCAATCCTGCATGCTCCCCACCCCACCTGGCTCAAGAACTTCAAGGAATCTCTCTGGTTTTCCATTTGATCTACAAAGACATTTATCTTGCTTTTGAGCCAGGATTTTATCTTTCAAATTTCTCTTTATACTATCTCCATTGTTGCCATGTTTTGGATTAGAGAAGGTACATCAAAGTAGGAACACACTGGGCTATCTTGACTGGACAATGTTAATGATGAATTCTCAGTGCACTCTGCTTAGGTTTTCTGCTGTTCTTATCACCTGCTGATCACTCTACCATGGACTCAACAGTTTAAGTTCTCCAAACTTCAATGTCCCTTCCTGGTTCTCTACTTCCCTTTTATACACACTACTTTCTTCACATAAGATCTCTTCAATCCCTTGCTTTTAATTTCCAATCACATATGTGAATAAATAAAACTAAACACCCTGGACTCCTTCCCCTGTGAAATCCAGGCATCCCTGCCTGATGGCCCGGATGTAGATCCCAAGTTTCTATTTTGGTAAGTGGTCCTAGATAGTTGACTCAGTTAGGCAAGAGAAATCCAATAATAATCCTAGATAATCTTTCCCTTCACCCCCATGCAATCAATTACTAAGTTCTAAATCTTTTTCCTATCGTCTTCTCTGCAACTGTACTGGTTCATTCCTACCAACTGTTGCCTGGTCTTTGTTAATGGCCTGAACTGGTAGCTAGCTCTCTGTATACATCTTTTTTGAGCTTTAAATCCTGTTCCCAAATGACAAGGAAAAAAAAGCACAAATTCTTGAGCATGAAAAAAAAAATGACCTGACTCACATCCATATTTCCAGGCAAACTGGAAGTAGTTTCCAAACTTTCCTTGCTGTTTTACATATTAATGTCTCTTTACTACTTAACCACATTTCATAGCTAATTTGGGAGTGACAGGAAACAATGGAATAAGTTAATAAATGCAAGCTATCTCTGCAGCTATTAAAAAAAGAAGTTTGGTGTTTTTTGCATTCAAGGCTTTTCCTCCCCAAAGTTTCTAGCTACAAAACTATTCAAAGCTAAAAAAGGAAGTGTGTGCTTTGGGTGTTGTAAACTGAACATACACCAACCACTTCAAGTGAGAGGTCTTAAAGGCTCCTCATTAGTCCCTTATCACTGCATATTACCTCCAGGATGTGAAAAATTTTCTTTACAATATACCCTTATGCTGTAAGGGCACACACACACACACACACACACGCATATATACACATTTCCATGGCTGGTTAAGCTCCTGACAAGTCTTAGGTGTTATGCTTATATCTCCAAAAATTCAGTTCAAAGTCCAGGGATAAAAATATATATAAATAATAAATGCTGGATGTTTGAATCTATAAGAATACAAAACCAAAAGAATTCTAAAACTAATTCATACGACATCATGAACTAATTCTAACAAAATATTTGAAAACTAAGGGTTCATTCAAGTTTCATTTCAATGCTTTCAAAGCAAAGGTTGAACATTCTCAATATGAATTTAAAAAGTAGACTTGGACTTCTTAAATTCAGTTTCCAAATGATAAAGCCAGGTTGTTAATTATAGTTAAATTGGAAAAGTACAAGTTGATGAGTTTATAAACTAGTGACTGGGAAAGTGCAATTCAGAAGGAAAACATCGACTGATTTTAATGTCAAAGGCGTTAATTAGTAATTTCTCATTTTTCCATGAATGTAAACATATTTTAACTAGGAAAGTTCAATTAGAATGACATATTATTGTTTCTGTCAATATAACCTGCCAATCTTCCAAAGCCAACCAGTAGTCAGAAATTCTGTTATAATTATAACAACGCAAGACAAATAGCAATCACCAAATGAAAAAATGATAGCAGTCATTGTGATCCAATTCCCTCCATCTCCCAATTCTGTGGTCTTTTAAAAAATAGATTCCAACTGGAGTGGATCACTATATATCATAAACTTTTAAGATACTTTCTTAATTGAGTTGTTTCTAACATAGTTTATATAACATAAACCTCAAATATTATGTATAAATATTGAATTATAAAAATAACCTAGGCCAAACATTTTCTGAGCACCAAATTTACCCACAGAAGGAATTCTACATTTCACCAGGACAGTATTACTATAAAACTCCAACAGAAGTGGGTGTCAGCAGCTTCATGCTAAACATCTGTGTTACGTTTCCATAGCAGAATGCCTACCACATACACGGTAAATCATTATAAATCAAAACTTTTAAAAATAAAAATAAAAACTTACAGCTCCTTTGCAGTAAAGTCGTAACTTCCCGGATGGAGTGCGAACAATCACTGACATTCTTTTCCTGGCGCTGAAAGAAAGGTTTTCCATAAAGTGTCATCACACAGAGGATGCACATATATGTGTTTGTCATGCTTCACATCTTTTAATACTCACAGTGAAGAAATAAATTGGGCCAAATTATGAACCTTATTCTTTCACACCCATAGACTATGCCCTTGGGATACAGTTGAAAATTACGCTGTGTTCTTTAAGGCACCATTGACTGCCCTGGAGGAGTTATTTCCAAAATAGCTCCCAAAAAATCTGCAAGAGTGAGTACCCAACAGACTGGAGTCCTAGTTTAATATTCTGAGGTTTGAAAACATATTTAATTAAGCCAGTATCTTAGAAGATAAATTGTATGTTACAGTTTTTATAAAAAGCAGAATACTCATCAATTTTAAGTCCATACCAAGTCACACAGAAAGACAAATACTAGTGCTTTAAAACAACTTACTGGGGCCAGTGCTGGGCCACAGTGGGTTAAGCCACTGCCTGCAATGCTGGCATCTCATAAGGTACCCTGATCTACCAGCTCCTTGCTAATGCTCCTGGGAAAGCAGTGGAGGATGGCCTAAGAGCTTGGGCTCCTACACCTATGTTCCAGGCTCTGGGTCTGGCCCAGCCCAATCTGTTGCAGCCATATGGGGAATGAACCAACAAATGATGATTTCTCTCTCTGAATCAGTGGATGGAATATCTCTCCCTCTTTCTCTCTCATTCAGCCACTGAAGTAAATAAATCCATTAAAAAAAAAAACCTTAGGTTCCCACAACCATTGTTTTCAATCATTAATAGCTAACCACTGGCATCATAGATGCACACACACACACACAAAACCCCCAAAACCTGAGCTACACTGATGGGCACAGACCTCTTAACATGGAGTTGGTGACTTAAGCAGTTTAATAAAAACTGAGTCCAAAGTACAACCTCCCTCAACACATTGTTACAGAGGCAGCTAACAACAGTGAACACAATGAACCAGTACAGCATCCTATAGAACTCATTCAAGAGTGTATGGGCATTCTTGGCAGAACTGAATGCATCTTTATTTCACCATACAGTACACCACTGCTAAAAGAAAAGGAAATGAATTCAATTAAGAGAGGCAGTCATGCTAATGTAGCCAATGGCCAGAAGTTTCTTTTAGAGGCATTTAGAAATATCTAAGTTCTCTGTTTCTACATCCATAACCACTATGATATTACTGCCCTATTCTCTACTCCACTCTTGTACTTTAGGAATATATTTATTTGAGCCTCCTTTATTGTTCCTATCATAGCCTTTCTTGTTTCACGCCCCTCTTAATCCAGCTTTGATAATGTTGTCCCAAACTCATCCAGTTCCTTTATCTTCTCCTGGTAAGATCCCCCAATCCTGGGTGAGCTGGAGCCCTCTTCTTTATTTAAAAAATTTTTATTTGCATATATTTATTTGAGAGGCAGAGAGACAGAGTTAGACAGAGGTAGAGAGACCTTCCATTTGTGGGTTCACTCCACAATTGGCTCCATCAGGTGAGATCAGGCCAAGGTCAGGAGACTGGAACCCAATCCAGGTCTCCCATATAAGGGCAAGGACCCATGTAACTGAACCAGCACCTGCTGCTTCCCAGGGTGTACACCGGCAGGAAGATGGAATTAGTGGCACATCAGAGTAAGTTGACATTGCTAGAGAAAAGGCACCCAGCCACAGAGATTAGAAAATATGTGATATGCAACACCAACTTGGTGCTTTGTACAGCTAATGACTAATGAGTCCATACATCTCTCTAAGCAGCCTGCTCTCTCACCCTTTACAGGATTATGGGATACTTTCTCCATTCTCCCAATCTCCTACATTCCCCCCGCCCAACTCTGGATCCTCTGAATTTTTGCAATTTACATTGATGGAAGCCTCAGGTAAGAAATCCCTTTTCTTTCTGCTATTGTATCCTACGTGTCAGAGTGGGCATTTAGTCCACTGGTGAGGATGCCTCTGTCCCATATTGAATTACATGAGTTTGATGCTTAGAGCCAGCTCCTGACTTCAGCTTCCTGCTAATTATGGACTAGTGGGCAATGCGGATGGCTACAACTGGGTTCCTGCCCTCCCCATGGGAGACCTGGTTTGAGTTCCTGGTTTCCAGCTTCAATTCCAGCCCAGCCCTGGACATTGCAGGCATTTGGGGAGTGAACCAGCAAATGGCAGCACACGTTCTCTCTCCCTTTCCCCTTATGTTATTTCTCAAATAAATAAAATTTTTAAAAAGACCCTCTATGTGTAGCTACATGGGCAGCATCTTTTTTTTTTTTTTCCTGTTACAGTGGAGGAAATGTTTCTTGGGTTCTCACTGGCCTTCCTTCCACTTGTCTTTGAGCACTCTTTCATTCCCCTTTCTCATTAACTTCACTCCAAAAGTCACACTGATCTGTCCTGAATCTGCATCTCTCCTTCTGTGAAGGATGGACCTATTAATCTGTGTGCACCGAGCTCTAGTTTCTCCCCTATGAAACTCACCCCAACCACGCCCTCTCCACCAAGCCACATCTCCTTTCAAGTCTTTCCTCACTCCTCCTCAGGGCTTAATTTCTCCAATCCATCATTATACAAAGTCTCTACTTACTGCCTGTTCATTCCTAATCTTTGCCAACTCACTTCTTTCCTCTCCCTTCCAACCAATGGCCACATCTAGCATAACCTGCACAGTCTCTGGCACAGATGGCTACCCTCTCCCTACCCCACTTCCCTTGGCTCTGTGGTATCTGGCATCCCCTCTCTGTCCTCTACGTTTCTAGCAACGGAGTGGTCTCCTTTGCGGATTCCTTTCAAATCTAATCAAACCTTACAAATTAAGAGTTGCTCATGGCTCAGTTGCCAGCTTTCCACTTTCCCTTCACTTAAAATTTTATTTCCAGGAAATTTCATCCATTTTCATGGCTTTAAATATCATTCACAGAGCAATGACTACAAAACTGGCACTTCAGCCATCAGTCTCCCTTTTTATGATTCAGGTACTTATATCCAACTGCCTATCTGCCTCTTCTACTTGTATATCGTGCAGGCATCTAAAATCCAGCAATCCCAGACATCTACTCTTACTCCACTTCTGTCCTCTATGTAAAGTCGTACTTCCATCTGCCCGGTTATATATGCCAGGAACCCTAACTCTTCCCTGCTTCCCCCCTCCATATTCATTCCTCAAAGTTTCATAGAAATCCCTCCAAAGACATGTGGATTCATCAACTCCCCTGTAATTTCACTGTTCTCATCCTCATGTAAACCCCTTTTAAAGATTTTATTTTATTTGAGAGGTAGAGTTACAGACAGTGAGAGGGAGAGACAGAGAGAAAGGTCATCCTTCCACTGGTCCATTCCCCAAATGGCCGCAACTGAACCGGTCCGAAGCCAGGAGCCAGGTGCTTCTTCCCGGTCTCCCACGTGGGTGCAGGGGCCCAGGGACTTGGGCCATCTTCTACTGCTTTTCCAGACCATAGCAGAGAGCTGGATTGGAAGTAGAGCAGCCGGGACTAGAACCGGCATCCATATGGGAATGTGGCACTGCAGGCAGAGGATTAACCTACTATGCCACAGCGCCGGCCCCTCCAGAGAGTATTTTAACAGCACCAGATTCACTTTTCCTAGTTCCTTTCTTAAACTCATTTGCCTCACAGCATCCTGGAAGAACCAAAACTCCTGACTGCTTTATTTTTCTTCATGACACTTAAGATAGTACTTTCCAAGTGTGTGTTTAAAAAACATATACAAATACCAATGAATATACTATTTATAATATATCAGATATAATACAAGTTGGCTTATAAGAAACAATCATTGTTGTTGACACAATGTACTTTGGGAATACTCTACTCTAGTTCATCTTGCAGCTTCTTACTTATTCTCTTTAGAGACTTTCGGACCACAGAGGGAAAGAAGACAGGATTTACCTAATAAATTGGACAGACCTCATTATGTTTTTGTTATTAACTATGGGACTGTGGTCACTACCAAGCAAGACAGAAACCAAGGGGATGGCGCTCTGGTGTAGCGGGTAAAGCCACCGCCTGCAATGCCAGCATCCCATATGTGTTCCAGTTCGAGTTCTGGCTACTCCACTTCTGATCCAGCTCTCTGCTATGGTCTGGGAAAGCAGAAGATGGCCCAAGTCCTTGGGCCCCTGCCCCCACACCCGTGTGGAAGACTTGGAGGAAGATCCTGGCTCCAGGCTTCTGATCATTGCAGCTCCAGCCATTGTGGCCAGCTGGAGAGTGAACCAGTGGCTGGAAGACCTCTCTCTCTCTCTCTCTCTCTGCCTCTCCTTCTCTCTCTGTGTAACTATTTCAAATACATTTAAAAAAAAAAAAAAAGACAGCAATCAAAGGTGGCATAGAAAAGGAAGTGCCTCTCCAAGGCAGTGTACATATGTGCCTTCTTCCATGGAGAGAGTTCCAGGAAAAAAAAAAAAAAAGATGGGTACATATTTCCTTGGAGAGCGGCACTACTTCCTAATGGACTTGACACTGAAAGTCTCCTGTGACTGGTGATGCAATCTTTAAAGATCATGCTATGAGAAGGTCGGCTGGCTGGAAAACTACACAGTCATGTGGGAGTGAAAAACCAAAACCTCACTGACTGTAGCTGAGGGCCTCTATTATTTGGCCTTAAGGAGTAAAGTAAGTAGGATAACCACTTTGTTTTCTGTTCTTTCCTACTGGATGGTAACTGGTCTTATGCAAGGATACTCAAAATGTTTCTAGAAAAGGAATTAAAAGATAAGCTTATTTTAGCACAACAATTTTGAAACCTATGCTTGCATTTCTTTACTTTTTTTTTTTTTTGACAGGCAGAGTGGACAGTGAGAGAGACAGACAGAGAGAAAGGTCTTCCTTTTTTCCGTTGGTTCACCCCTCAATGGCTGCTGAGGCCGGCGCATAGTGCTGAGCCAAAGCCAGGAGCCAGGTGCTTCTCCTGGTCTCCCATGCAGGTGCAGGGCCCAAGGACTTGGGCCATCCTCCACTGCACTCCCGGGCCACAGCAGAGGGCTGGACTGGAAGAGGAGCAACCAGGACAGAATCCAGCACCCCGACCAGGACTAGAACCCGGGGTGCTGGCACCGCAGGGGGAGGATTAGCCTAGTGAGCCGTGGCGCCAGCTGTATGCTCTCATTTCTAACACAAAGATGGATATAGTTCTCCAAATCTCAAAGATAATCAGATACAACAAGTACATAGTAAGAATCAGTGCTTCCCAATTCATCTCTACTCCACATAAACCTTGGTGCCTCTAACTATGTTTTCAGATCATTAGCCATAGACTCCTGGTCCTATACAGAAGTCTTCTGAATCAGAGAGTGGTGTTTCAGAAAGATTTCTGAACTTTCATGAGGACTCACAGATTGCAACACTTTGTGAAAACTGTCATGATTTATCCACATACATTGCAGTTAAAAACATACTGAAGATTTTAACATTTTTTCTGAAAAAACTTAAATAAAAACAAAGCACACTTTCTAGTTATTTAAGAGAGAAAAAATAAACAAGGGAGAAAATTATCATATCTATACAAATCGTAGAGTAGGTGTTTTACCTGGTGAACTCCAGGACATTGAGTAATTCGTATCTTTCTTCCTGCCCCAGCTATGAAGAAATGGAATATATGAGTACATATAGTTGGAAATCACTTAGGCTTCTTGGACATATATACTGGCCATAAAGTTTTATTATAAAAATGTCAACATGAACAGAAGAGAACTTACTAACTTTCAGGTTAATTAAGATATAGGAAACAGAAAGTCCAGAACAGGAGAAAACCAAAAGGAAATCCAAGTACCACAGAGGCAGACTTCAGAGCAAAACCAGCCCAGACAGAGAATGGAGGGCTTCGCCACCGGCCAGATTATCTGGAACGGCTGGACTGAGAGCACTAGGGAGGTATGGGGAACAATTAGTAACAGAAAGAAAATGAAGCTATTAAAAGAATACTGAGGTATTTACCTTAAGGAAATAAAGGGGAAAATTTTTATTTAGGAAGTAATTTTGTGTCAGGAAACACAAAATTAAAAAAAAGAAAATAATTACTGCCTACAACAATATTCACCTATAAATGCTATAGATACAATATAAATATTAAGTGATTCTTAAATGAGATATAATTTACATATAATAAAATGCAGAGACCTTCGATGTATAGTTCAATAAAAATCATATAGTTTGACAAAGGTATACTGTGTATACCCACCACCCAATCAAGATGTGGAACACCCCATCAACATCTCTGTGTGCTTCTCCCATCAATCTCCCTGCCCTGAGGCACCACTGTCGTGGTTTCTATCACCATAAACCACTTCTCAGCTGCATATAAATGAAGTGAAACGGGATGCACTGTTATGTCTCAGGCATTTATTCTGCTCAACATAATGCTTTTGAGATTCATCAATCAATAACTCATTTTTATTGTTTAGATACTTCATGGTAGAAATATCTCACGATTTGTGATTGGTTTTCTATTGATGGGCATTTGGCTAATTCCAGTTTTTGGCAGTTATGACTAAAGCTGCTGTGAACAGTTCTCCACCAGTCTTTTTGTGGACGTAAACTTTCACTCCTGTGGGATAACTAGTGTACAGTCATTGCGGGCAGATGTAAGTTCCCTTTCAAGAGAAAATATTAGAAGCTTTTCTGAATGGACTGTGTACTCTACTCAACTACTAGAAATATGTGATTGCTCCACTTGTCCTATACTCTAATATCTGGAGGTGACAATGTTTGTAACGTCAGCCTTCTTGGTGAGTGTGTAGGGGGATCTTTTTGTGTTTTTAAATCTGCATTTCCTCAATGACTAACAATTTTTTTATGTCATTCACATATCTTATTTTGTGAAAACTCAGGTTAACTTTTTGGAGCCTAATTTTGGAGCCTGTGGAAGCCTGCTGGGACCAGAACTTCTCAAAGGCAGCTATGTCTAGAAGACTGTGGTGCAAGGCCATTTTTTGCCGCCTATAAGCGAGGTCTCTTTTGCTGGCTATAAGCGTGCTCTCCAAAGGGTGCACACAGAGGCTCTTAAAATTGCAAATGTCTATGTTCAAGATGAAACTGAATTCTACTTGGGCAAGGCATGTGCCCATGTGTACAAAGAACAACACAGTGACTCCTGGTGGCAAACCTGAGTAACCTGGGGAAGGGTCCCCCGTGCTCAGGGAAACGGTGGCATGCTTCATGCAGAATTCCGAGACAACCCTGCTGCAAACACCGTTCGATACAGAACCCATGTGATACTTGTACCCCTCAAGGCTTTAAACTACTGAAAAGTAAATAAAAAGAAATGGAACCATTTTCTTTGAAAAGAAAGTTGGCCCTAATACTTGCTTAACCCAACACTGAAATAGAGTAATATTGAGAATATGGGGTGGGTTAAGCAAAAGGGAGCAGGTTCAGGAGAGATACCCCCTCAATGCGCAACACAGAAATTCAACAGACAGACCTAAAACTGATGAATGAAACACAGATCAAGAATCGTGCATTTTTTTTTAAATAAGACATGTATAAATGACTAAGGAAATGGCCAAAAAGACAGAAAATGGTTGCTTCTGGGATGGGGGCTTCTATTTCAAATAAGCCTACTGGTTCCTTTTTGAATCTAGGCATGTGTATTACTTTGGTTAAAATGAAACTTAAAAAAAATAACTTACTGAATCTATAATCACTGAGTCAGGTGTTCTTCCAGTGAAAACAAAATTCAATTGCTTGGCTGCTCTGACCAACGCACCCTCATCTGTTTCAGGAAAACAAGTGAAAGCAAATATATAATGGGAAAAATTATTCCAAATACAATAGAAAGATATTTATTTAATGCAGTTTTGTTTAAATTCTTTTTATTCTATCTTCTGTTACTGAAGCCCATTTCTTTTTCAATTACATGGTAATGCTGAAGGAATGAAGAAACAATCTTACATGCCTGAGACACGTAGATGTCAGAGTAGTATTTGCGAACATTAAGTCTGTTAGTCATTCCTTCCTAAGGATAATGTAACTGTGCTGCTTTGTCCAGCATATTCTCTATAAAATCTTTCTAAAATGCCTTGTTTTATTCTTTTCCACCAAAAAGTTAAATATAGATAACTAATACTACCAATTGAGGAATTCACATATGTTTAAATGCTTTATATATATGTTTCATACATGTTAATTACTTCTGTCATGGCAGTGTATAAAACTTTCCTTTGCTGAGGTGGGTATGGAATAAGAAAACATTTACTTAGTTCCTGTTTGCATGGTTTCTAGTCTAAACATATGAGAAGTAACATTTCTTAGGCTTTCTAGGAATTTGGCATAATCTACAAGTCACAGGTACTAACTAGTTTAGAATGTGGTTTAGAAGCATTTGCATGTAACAAATTTCTCCAAAGTTTTTTCCTTCTTTCCTAAAATTTTACAATGGTCAAATTGATAATCTACCCAACTTCATACAGAAAATATTTAAAACTAAGCCTAAATATTAAATAAGTGTAATTATATTGATACGTGTACTAACAAATATTTTATTAAATTCCTTTAAATACGTCAAACTTTCCTCACTCAACAAAAAGCTCCATATCATTTTCAAAGGGTAAGCCAAACTGTGTTCTGAAGCCACAGATGAGGGTGCCTCAAAAAATTCATGGGAAATGTAGCTACAAGACAAGTTTGTTTTCATACAAAAAACCTTTGCAAGCCGTGCACAGTTGTTTTGCAATGCACAGTTCCATGAACTTACTGAAGATCACATACACACTCATTATTTTTAGGTGAACAGATCTTCCTTTTCCAGTATGCCTGCCTTCACACACAGTTTATGACTGACAGCTTATGTTTAATTATTTACAAGGAAGAGAAAAATTACGCTTAAATAAAATATCCCTTTTTCCACTTGTGTGAATTTTATTATTCAAATTCCTATATAACTTATGTTCCACGCCAGCAATTACACATACAAATCTATGTATTTAAACATATGTTTTTCATCTGGAAAGTCAAAGTTTTTCTAATAAAACATTTTTAAATCTAAAAGTCATAATCAATTTGGCTATCTTACTTTTTCAAATTAAATCGAATTTTTCTAGCAGTCCTGAATGTTGCAACGATTTTCCCCAGAAACATATTTCACAATTGCTTTCTTTGTACCTGGAGATGCTGCTTGATAAATAATCTTCTCCCCCTCACGCTCAGGGACTGCTGTGTGACACACTGCCATCATTGTGAGAAATTCACAGATGATAGGTGCAGTTGGCTGAGAAACACACATTAGTTTAGCCTTTTCATGTAAATGTTTTGACATCAATGATAACAATATTACATCATGTACAACTATTAAGAACGTAGCTGTTAGAAATTGGGATATGGGGTAATAGCCAACTCAGAAGCAAAAATCAGTTATGAAGAAAACATTTTTACTCAAATTATTCATTTGTGTACTTTCTCATTCACTTTTTCAACATTTATACAATCATGAATACATGCTGGACAAGTAAAAAGAATTTTGTAGCAACAGATATTGATAATTATTAAAAATGATCATGAAAGTAAAAAATATATAAACCTGAAAGACAATTCAGAGTAACATTCATTAGTTTTCATTCATTACTAAACAGATATTAGTTTTATGCTGCTTACATGGTTATTTTGGAGATTTTCCAGCAAGGATGAGTCACTAAATGTTTTTTCATCTCCAAACTGTGAGCTCTGCCTAGGGGTAAAAAAATGAAGCAAACTTGGTTCACTTATATACAAGTCTTCTGATGTATTTATAACTTGATTTTAAAGTAAATTGTTTTACCTGCAAACTTTTAGTCAATCAAACACAATTTAAACAAAAAGTTTTTAATTGTAATTTTTATAGGTTACAAAGAATCTCATCAAGGTCCACGTGTCAAATATCAAGACCTTCATATTTTAAAGTCAGAACCCTTGAGAAGAATGAATAGTGAAAGAGAATAGAATTTGAAACAACAGAACACATGAAGTATTGTCAATGAAATATTTCTCCCAAAAGTCAAAGGAAGAAGCTTAAACATTTATAATAAAATACATCTTAATTTGCATGCAATAATTTAGTCTGTTACTTCTCAGAAGTATAATAAAATATATATTTCTTAGCATGCAATAATTAGTATTCTCAAAATATCACCTGTAGGCAGTTGAACACATCATCATCATTACTACTATGGCTCTGGTTTCAAAGACGGAGGAAAAAAACCTAAAAACTTTTAAATGATTTATCAATGGGTAGACAGAAAAAAATTAAATTTCTCCTCCAATTGTTATCATTTATTAAAAATAGATTATCGCTTTGAACTTTATAAAAATTTTTATTATTAAAACACATTCATTGGGGACAGTATTGTGGTGCAGCAGGTTAAGCTGCTGCCTAAAATGGCATCTCTTATGAGCACTGGTTTGATTTCTGGCTGCTCTACCTCCAATCAAGCTCCCTATTAATATACCTGGGAAAGCACAGGTGATGGTCCAAGTACTTGGGCCCATGCCACTCATGCGGCAGACCCAGACTGAGTTCCAGGCTCCTGGCTTCAGCCTGGCCCTGCCCTGGCAATTGTGGCCATTTGGGGTGTGTACTGGGAGACAGAAGATCTCTCTCTAACTCTGCCTTTTAAATAAATAAAATCTTTTTTTTTTTCCTTTTTTTTTTTTTTTTGGACAGGCAGAGTAGACAGAGACAGAGACAGAGAAAGGTCTTCCTTTTCCGTTGGTTCACCCCCAATGGCCGCCACGGCCAGCGCACCATGCTGATCCGAAGCCAGGAGCCAAGTGCTTCTCCTGGTCTCCCATGTGGGTGCAGGGCCCAAGCACTTGGGCCATCCTCCACTGCCTTCCCGGGCCACAGCAGAGAGCTGGACTGGAAGAGGAGCAACCGGAACAGAATCTGGCACCCTGGCCGGGACTAGAACCTGGGGTGCTGGCGCCGCAGGTGGAGGATTAGCCTATTGAGCCGCAGTGCTGGCCATAAATAAAATCTTGAAAGTATTTATTAATAGTTCATAGTTATACTACCTTACTTATTTGTACTACACTTGATCATAGCCAAAAGGCCGAGAAGCGATACCTTATTTATTTGCTAGATAAACTGATATGTCAAAGATATTAACAGTAACATTTTGTATGAGGAAGTCTATTTCATTCCACAGACTTCCAGACTAAAAGCCTTAATAAACCTAAACATGCCTTATTAATCTCATCAGTAACTTTCATTTCATAAATCAGTTAACATAACTGACACAACTTTCAAATGTTTTTATAATTGAGAAATTCTAGATATGCAATTGAAATATTTACATGAACATCTTCCACTTTCTGTTCCCCAATGAAGGTTTCCACAAATGATGATGATAAATATAAGAATTCTCCCAAAAAGTAGCTTCTTTTCCAAGATCATAAAAAAACATAAGTCATCCTCTAATCAGACAGCTGGGCTTGGTGAACTAGGAATGGAGCTCCCACCACCACACTCAGCAATCTCATGGAGCAGTTACTTGTCATAAAAATAAACAAATAAAGCTAGGAAGCTCATGTCATTAAAAATAAGAACCAGCTGTATTAAAAGTAAAAACAATAAACTGTCAGTTGACAAAAGTGCACGAATTTAAAAACTATTTACATATAAAATATAAGCCAACATCAGCACTTATCAAAATTTTCATAGAAATTTCTAAGTGGCACATTGTTCACAAAGAGACAGAGACATTGTGGTGTTTCCCAAGAAGCAATAAGGCAGGGCATGTGACTGTTAAGCAGAGGAACAATGAACATGGAAGCCCACAAAGCCATAACATTATAGCTTCTTGAGCGGCTGGGTCTAGCGGTTGAGGTGTCCATGTCCCACATCCGAGTGCCTGAGTTCAATTCCTGGCTCTAGCCCCTGACCCTAGCTACCTGCTAATGCAGAGAGACCCTGGGAGACTGGGGTGATGACTCACGTTATTGGGTTCCTAGTACCCATGTGGGAGACCTGGATGGAGGCTCCTGGCTTTGGCTCAATCCAGTCCCTGCCACTGCTGGCATTAAAGGAATGAATCAACAGATGAGAACTTTCTTGTTCTCTTTTCTGCTTCTCAAATACAGAAATAAAATATTCAAAAAAGCTATGATACATTGCAAGTAATTACTTTCTGATAATTATTCTTCAAAAATGAAGAATCCGACAGCAAAAACATCAAGAGAAAATCCATTAAGTTATGACTGAATTAGTAATAGTAGCCTGCATACATTATAGTACAGATCACAAAATTTTTAAAACTCAAGGTTCTTGTCTATATGACAGCCATCAGAAAAAAGGAAAATGAAAATTGGATCCATACTTTCCACTTTAAACCAAAATAAACTCCAAATGGATCAAAAATTTAATAAAAGTATTAAAGATATAGGGAAATTGAAAGAAATCATTTGGGAGTGAAAAAGGTATCATATATAAGGGTCTTTACACCAGACACAGAAAGACAAATACTGCATGTTCTCCCTTATATGTGGGAGCTGAAATTAAAGAAAAGAAAAAAAAATCAAAAGCAAAAAACCAAGAAGTAAAGAAAGGCCTGTGTGTATCAGTACTGCTGCAAAAAAGTTTTGTGAAACTTCGCTTTATATCTTTGTCAAACCAATGGTTAAGAATGTTACGCTACTATAGTTTTAATGATCTGCAATTACTTAAAAATTTATTGTATACGGTGAAACGGTCATTTTTCCATTCAATCATTGTTTATAACTGTTCCCTATATTCCCATTAAACTAGGATCTTTTATCTTTCTTCTTGTTAAACTTCTTATTTGGTGAAGCCCTTTTACTGTAATATAAATTTAAACTATGTTATCTCAAAAACTAAGAAAGGAAAGAAAGGGAGGGAGGAAGGGAGGGAAAGTAGAGAGGGAAAAGGAGGGTGGGAAGGAATATCATTATAGTCTTAGAATTATATCTAAGGCCCATGAGAGTCTCACAGGCATGGAAAGCCATGACATGGTGGCAAAGACAATCTATATGAAAGATCCTGGTGAACAAGACCCCAGCAGAAGGAACAGGCCATCAAGGAGGGAGGCGCCTTTCTCGGAAGGGAGGGAGGTGCCTTTCTCGGAAGGGAGGAAGGAACCTCCACTGTGATACGGCCTTGACTAAACAAGTTCAGAGTTGGTGAACTCAAGGGGCTTCCATAGCCTAGACAGCTCATGGCAAGAGACTCGGGTGACTGCTGACTTCATCAATAAGAGTGCCAATTGTTAAATCAACAACGGGAGTCACTGGGCACATGCTCCCCACGTAGGATCTCTGTCCTTAATGTGTTTTACTATGAAACTTAAAAACAACACTACTAGTCAAACAATACACTATACCTTGTGCGGTTGTGTGAGGGCAGCCTGTTGAAATCCTTGCTTAGTGTATACTAAGTTGATCTTCTGTATATGAAGGTAATTGAAAATGAAACTCGATGAAGGGCGGGATGGGAGAGGGAGTGGGAGAGGGGAGGGCCACGGGAGGGAGGGAGGTTGGAGGGGGAAGCCATAATAATACAAAAGCTGCACTTTGTAAATTCACATTTATTAAATAAAAAAAAGAAATAAAAAAAGCCACTCTTCCTAATAAATTCCATTCTAACAAAAAAAAAAAAAAGAATTATATCTATGAACAATATTGAATCTGTCAAAAACATTTTTTAAAAAGTTCATGGAAGAAAGAATCTAAAGATAAGCTTATTTTGGTGAAAAAAAGTTGAATGTAAATGAGGTGTTTTTTGTAAAGTTTATGTAGAATACATACTATGAAAAAAATGTGAAGTAAAAATCTTTTGTACCAAAACAGACATCTTTTAATTCCATTTTCTATGAACTCTTTGAAGAACCCTCATGTAACTTAGAAAACAAAATAGTTAAATCTTACCAAATAAGTAATTCTGCATGGAAAAAGCTACTGCAAGCAAAGTGAGAGTCAAATGACAAGCTGGGAAATAACATTTCCAACTTATAAAGATTAATTCCCATGACTTAAAAGGAACTCATACAATTCAATTAAAATAATGATAGTACAGTAGAAAATGAACAACTTTTATAAACACAGTTCAACAGAAGGAGCACAAATGGCTTTACATGTATAGTCCATCTTACAAAAAGAGAAGTGAAATATAAACTTATCAATATAATGAAACTAAACTTTGACAATCTGTGTTGCTTTGCAAACAGTGAAGACATATTACTGGTGAGACCGTAACTTGGTATAATTTCTAAAGTGCAACTGAGGCAATAATTCAAATCCTATGACCTTGTTATTCTAGCTGTAGGAATTTATAGAATTTACCTAGTACAAAATGCTTCATGTACAAATGTTCTTTGTAGCACATGTACATGTTTTTGTAGCACTTTTTTTTTTTTTTTTTTACAGGCAGAGTGGACAGAGACAGAGACAGAGACAGGTCTTCCTTTTCCGATGGTTCACCCTCCAGTGGCCACTGCAGCCAGTACGCTGCGGCCAGTGCACCGTGCAGATCTGAAGCCAGGAGCCAGGTGCTTCTCCTGGTCTCCCATGTGGGTGCAGGGCCCAAGCACTTGGGCCATCCTCCACTGCATTCCCGGGCCACAGCAGAGAGCTGGCCTGGAAGAGGAGCAATCGGGACAGAATCTGGTGCCCTGGCCGGGACTAGAACCCGGGGTGCCGGCGCCGCAGGTGGAGGATTAGCCTATTGAGCCGCGGCGC